AGGAGAATGTGTAATGTGCCACTCACTGCTGAATTTGTCCTCAGACATTCCTGCCAGAAGCATAGTTAGAAGCATACCTTGCTCAAAAGTAGGACTCCAACATCTTAAATATGTTGGTGGTATTGTAGAAACTGCATGTAGGGGATTCATAATTTTTTTTCTTGTTCTTCCTTTTGTGCAAGGCCAGGAGCGTAAGAGCTGCTTGATAAATCTTAAAGATAATAAAGATCAATAGACATGACTATTTATTGCTGTTTGTAAACAAAAAATATAAAATGCTATCTCAGCTGCTGTAAAAAGTGTTGATGAGGCCCATTTAATTCATAGATATTGCTGATATTTTAATTCAGCAGTAGCACTGGAATGAGAGAAACATATATCTCTCTGAATTTACATCTGCAGCAAAATGAGAGCTACTGGAAATATGGTTTGAGAGCAAGTTTGCTGCTAGTTTACAATAACAGAATCCTACTTTCACTAGATTAATAATGGGAAATATCTCAATTTAAAAATTCATTCCTGTAGTTTATGGTTTGTCACAAATGCCAGAAAAATAATATTGCAGATAAAACTCTATGCCGCTGTCCCTGTAGGCACAATGTTACAGAATACATATGAGTGTAGCAGGCCTGGTTTTAATTTAACAGTTTTAGAAAAATTACTGTGGCAGGTCTAGTTGGGAATATTTCTCCTCTGAACCACCCAAAAATTGAAAAGGGCAAAAATCCTCAGCACTAGGGTGAGAAGGATGTGTTCCTTTATTAGACTCCTTTTCAGCTCCCTCCCAAAAAGGTATTTTCTTTGTTCAGAAATAACCAAAATTACTTGAAATCACATCATTACTTTAGCCATACTTTTCCTGATATTTTTCCATACCTTGAAACCAAGCATCATTCATTTTCTCAAACTAATGAAAAGGAGAACAGCTTAAACCTTATCATTCAAAAATGAAGGTCCAGTAAGAGGCAGAGAAATTTGTTGAAGTATTAGCAAGTAATCCAAACTTTTCAAGTTGCTTTGGTGGCACCCAAATGTTAACAAATATGGGCAAATTGCCACTGTCAAAAACACACATGCTGCTTTCTTAAAATTAAAGTACATATTTTATGGGCCAGACTGTTGAATTGATTCTCTATTGGCTTTTTTCCACATTCTAAAATTTACTTTGTTCCAGATCTCAACTCCTGCTGCAGATGGTCAAGCCTCAAAAGAGGCTTGATTTGGCCAACAAGTGGTTTCCCAATCACAATTTGTTCTCCCTTGCCTGAAGAGGCATGAAATTTAGCTCTGAAATTAATTCCTTCTGGCCACCCTGTAAACATATTTCATTTATTTGATTTTTTTTGAGGGTTTTTTTGTTACCTCGCACTGTGAGCTGATGCATCTGGGATATGCCATGGGAAAGCTTGTGTAGCTATTGATGCTGATATAAACTGAGTGTAAAATTACTTCTGCAAGTTTGAGGTGCCATAAGCAAAGCCAGAAAGTTCAGCTGAGAATCAGACTCCTGATTTGAGGAAGTGGGACTTGGCTGAGTTACCAGGGGTCTGCTCTCACTTCACCAGCTATGCTGGCTCTTTCATGAATAATGGAAGGAATTTTAAACCCCTTTTCTTGCAGCCAGACAAGCTAAGTTCACAGAAGATGATTTCCAGTACTTAAAGTTCCTAGTGTAAGATTTTTGCATAAATCCCCAGGGACCTTATGCATGTCACATTCAGCAGCAGTAAGGACAATTTTTTCGGTTTATTGGATTTGATCTCCCACTACTTTATAGTTCTGTTTGTCATGCTAAAAGCTATAGCTTACAGTTTGTCAGATTTACACCCTATTTCATGATGCAGTCAGGTGTATGTCCTATTCTCATCAAGTATCAGTAGTTTTTTTTGAAACATTTGTGGCTGTGCCATAAAAGAAGTTAAAGCTGCAATATTCCATGCTGCTAATGGAATGAACTAGATTTCATGTGCTGTTTTCACACAGTTTCTTTAGTCCTAAGTCTAATTGGGTGGCAGCTGAACTCAGACACTGGAAAAACATTCCAGTATGGTTTAATGTAAATAGATTTTACCTCTTCTCCTCCCTATAAACAATAACTTAAAGTGGTTTTTTTGGAGGTTTTTTCCTATATAGAAAAGAGTAATTTTAGATGTTTTCTGAGGAGGGAAATTCCTGATCTCTTTATTTTCCTTCCCACCCTCTGGACTCTAAAGCTCAAGAGAGACAAAAAGGACTACGGCATCTCCACACCTGCCCTGGAAGTGAAAGTAGCTTCCACCTTCTGCCTGAGGAGTTTCAAACTGGACTCTTCTCCCACCCCTGCCCAAAGCTGCTCCTTTAGCCACTGACATCCCAGTTACTCTCAGCCAGCCAGCACAAATTTCTCCAGTTTGTTCTGTAGCACAAGTGTTCACAGGAAACATAAACTAGAATCCCCTACAACTTGTAATTCTAACTGACTTCTCAAGTGAATATCCTGCTCACTGGAGTAAGTGATGGAGTAAATTACGCAGCACAAAGCAGTTCTGGCTGGGGACTGCGCAGGGTACAAGTTTCAGCCTCCTGTTGAAAAGCAAAGCCCTTTCATTGGGTATAAAAGCCTTCATCCCCTTAGATTAATGCTATCATTCTACTGTCTTTGGGGGGAAAATACTCATTTTAGGCAAGCTTCATCTCTCTGCAGCTCTACATTCTGCACACAATCCATTAGAAAAACACAATTAAAAAATATAGCAAACTAGATGAAAGGATTGCTCTCTGCTCTCCTTTCCAGTGCAAGACTGCAGGGTAAAGGCGTTTTCCTGGAAACTGAATATATGAGTTTAATGTACTGAAGGAAAAAAAGGACTGTAATTGATACTTCCCATATTTTTCTACTGAATTCAATGTGCATTATCTGATCCATTCCAAACACATCAGGGTTGTAGCTCATGTGCCAGTCAGCTGTGTGATACATGTGCAATTTGCCCATAGTTTCCCAGACAGATTAGAGCCACTGCCCAAGAGCAAAAGCCCAGGGACCAGATTTGCACTTGCACAGCCATATGATCTTTACATGTCTGTTGAGTATTGACTGAGATTTCTGGAACTAACTCCATCAGGGGTACAACCTGGTATATAAAGCCAGAGGAAAAGACAAAGTTTGGAAAACTTCCAAATACTCCCAGATAAAACTCCCAAATAGAAAATAGATCACCAAGGAAACAAACAAACAAACAAACAAAAAAAAAAAAAAAAAAAAAAAAACCCAAACCCCAAAACACAGAAAAAAAAAATCAGATCTGCTGACCTTGTTGTTTAAGAAAATTTGCACCTAGAAGACTGACTTCAAGTCCAATAGCTACATCCTGACCCTCTGCATTTCCTAAATTACTTGTCTCAGGTCTGTGACTTCAGCTAATGAGTGTGGCATGAAAGGTTGTGGAGATGATAGATGTGAGAAAAAAACTGAAAAAAACCCTCTATGTATCATTAAAATGGGGTTGCTGTTCCATTTGAAGAAAAGTTTGAAATATTATTTTGGATAGAGTTTAACAATGAAGAGGAAAAACACCTCTTTAGTGAACTAAAATTCTATGGTTTTGTAAGAATTCTCATTCATGCCTAACAAGACTGAATGAAGAGAATCAGAAAAGAACTGGAGAACCGGAACAGTAGGAATACTTAAAATAATTTAATTTATTTCCAGCATATGCAGCCTTTCATATTTAAAACATATCACACATTTTATTCTTCCATTAGAGAGCAACTGAATTGATACATTCTGTTCATTTCTGGATCTGTAGCTATTTGGAACTAACACTTTTCAACTGTATGACAACCTCTAAATGAGATCAAAAATAAATCAGATATTGTAGGGTTGCCTTGGACACCTACAGAGGCTGGATAATTAAGTGAAACTGGGTGAATAACAGGTAGGGGATAACATACTCAAAGATTTTTTTATCCTTTTTTTATGTTATGGAAACTTCCCTATCTGACCATGCAGGATCCCCTCTGGCAGTCACACCCATAACACCTGAGCTGGGTGACACTGAAACGGGACCCTGAACAAAGGAACCTCTGGGCTTTTATACCCTCACAGCCTAAGTGTGCACCTTTGGGAGTTGCTTTCAGTGTCCCTCTGTCCCCCTGCCCCCAGGCTGGCAGTTCACAGCCTCTTTTCTCAGGCTCCCACCCAGAGCCTGACCTGCAGCTATCCCAGCCACCCGCACAGAATATGTTCCTTTACAGTTCTCCCTTTGTTTTAATTGAGCACACCTGCTAATATATTAAAAGGGAAAACAGAAGATTTTCAAGGCATTTGACCTCTTTCCTTACATACATTATTACAAATTACTATTCCAGAATGAAGGATAACAAGATTGTCATGGGGTGGAAATTATTATCAATGTAAAATCACAAAGGATTCTCAAGTCATTAACTATGAACTGATTGATCATTCACTACTTACACTGGGTTAAGCATTCAAATCCATCACGCTGGCCTTAGCTGGGATATAAGCTCCTGATACGTGCCTCCTAAAGAGCCTTCTGTCCCCAAAAACTATTAATCAATTATATTCACTCTAAAATGAGCACCTCTGTTTGATTCCCTTGACTCTGGAACCATCTATCTAGGTATAAATTCCTTTAGCAAGGCTCCTATGTCAGCCCTCCTTGTTAGAAAGGCTTCAGTCAGTCTGACAGCTGCTCTGCTATCACCAGCAAATGTTTGTACTCAGCCATAGTTGGGTCTGCAGAGTTTGCGAGCAGCTGCTGAAAAGGGAAGTAGGTCCACAGTCATCCACCTAACTCTGAGATCAGTCTGATATTTGGGAACTTCTGGTATGTTAAGCAACACCTAAAATGTCACCTTTTTGGTGGCATAAACTGTTAAGTACTCCGTGGCAAAATAGGCTTTCCCCCAATCATTCATATTCCATGACTATGTTGAGTCCAGTCCCAGTTTTTTTTTTCCCAGTCCCTTTACCTCTGCTGAGCAGTCCTTCTCACACAGAGTCTTAAGGTCTGCCAAACATCATCTTTCACTGTGGCCAGCCCTCAGGGCCACAGGAACACTCTAATTTGTCAGGATCTCTCTGACTTGTTCCTCGCGCCCCAGATGTGCTGCACACCTCAGATACTCATTCTGCTCCTCATGCACTCACCTTTGCCAAGAGTGCTTGCACCTCTGCTACCTGCTACCTGCTCACCACAGAATTAAATCAGAGCAAACCAGTTCAGACCAGTTCTGACCGGTTCAAACTGATTCCAACCAGCTACAACTGGCTCAAAGCGGTTCCAGCCAGCAGATCTGCTCGAGCTGGTGCCTCTGGAGGGAGACCCAGGACAAAGAAATCCCTGGGAAATCATATCCTTACAACTTCTACACCTGCCCTTCACACTCTCTTCATGTCTCTTGGCACAGCGGTAATTTTTGGCCTCAGGTCTTCTAACATTGGGCTTTTTCTCTGTGTCCAGGCAGGTTGGCCATTAATTGTAATTGATTAATTATCTTGTCAAGTTGAAGCTTCTGCTGACAACTGTATCCTCCTTATATTCTGCTTTGTGGTTGCAGTGCACTTGCCTGCTGGCAGAGCACGGGAAACGAAAGGAGCCCTAGACTTAGGATGAACGTTACCTAGCAACAACAAAAACACCAGAGTGTTATCAATATTCTTCTCATACTAAAGACAAAACACAGCTACTAGAAAAACTACTGAGAAAATTATTCTGTCTAAAGACATATCTAGGTCTAAGGTCTCAGCTTGCAGCCTGAGGTTTCAGCAAACATACTATATTCTATATCACACAGTATTATAACTATGTAACTCGTTCAACTTAAAACTGATTTATTCTAAACAACTGATTTCTCTCAGCAATATAATGAGATAGTCCTTGGGATCCAAATTCTCTGGTAAAATCATGTAACTTCTTAGTTCTCTCTGCATTAAAATTATGTATCTCCATCTTCTGCTATTCCTCTAGTTTTCCTGTAACATATCAAGATATAACTTTTTAAAAAACTAAAGCACAAGAGGATTGCTGCTCCAGAATGTAGCCTGGTATATTGCACTTCCTTTTATTCCTGCAAGAACAGTAGGAGAGGTAAAGGGAAGAAGAGATCAGATGGGGTAAAATAAGAAGACTTGTGTTAAAATTAACCCTTTTTACTCAAATTCCAACCTTCCCAGGGCACACCAGCTGAATATTATGTCTAGAAGTAAGTATGCTAGGGAGCCTAAGAAGATTCCTGCAAAGAATACATTTAATGTTTCAGAGACCACAAGGAGCTTTACTTAAATCACTTGTCAGAGACACACATCTGCAGATGTGACTGTTGAATTTTCCCCTTAGAATGTGGTATTTATTCATGACACATGCTAGGTAGGTGCTGACTCTTATAGTTTAATATTTCCCTCCAATGATGTGTTGCTTCTAAAATTAGAGCTCTTCTTTTGATGCCTCCAAGCCTAACTTTCTTTGGTATCTTGTGTTTGTTTTCATTAGGTTTCCATGGAAATCCTGGACTTGTAATTGATTTCTTTGAAGTTCAGTAGCTCTGTAAGTGGATGCGAAGCATTCTAGTTAGGATAGCTTCCACTACTCTATACAATGCTACCCTCTAGTTCTTTTACAGTACAATAACACCTTCCTTTAAATCTTTGTGTAGGTATAACAGACTAAAAACCTCTAATACATTTGGAATAACTTTTTTTTTATGCATATTTTGACTGTTGGCTCAAAGGAGAAAAAAAAAATCACCCTACTTTGGTACACCGACTCTTGGAAGAATTGGGGCTTTCCAAAAGGGTTTGTCATCAAAATTATAAGAAGTGTTGTTAAAAATATTTGTGGGAAGAAGACATTTGTTGCTTGTCTTTTGCTGCTGTAAGCTGTGTGGGGTAAAACAGTTAACACTATTCAAATTCAGCCCTGGTATCTTGGGTGCTGAGCTGACCTGGCTATGTTGCCTTCTGCCTGTTAAGCCTTCAGCTCTCAGATCTAAATCAGGAATAGCAAAAGGAACTGAAACAATCCACAGACAAAGCCACCTTTTTATCCAGTTACAAAGTGTTTGCCTTGAAAATACACTACACTACCTAATTAACTACCAATATGGGAGTGAGTTGTTAAGGCAGTGATCTTCAGCTGTGAGATTGGACCAATAACTAGGCTTTTTAGCATATTACATAGTTTTGCCTTTTGTACTTCAGATGAAAGCTGTGACTGAAATCACCCTATACCCTTGGCCAAGATTCCCTAAAAACAAGATTGTCACCAATTTTTTACCTGTTTGTTTGACTGCTCTGGGCATACCAACATGGTGCACATGCTGAATGACATGTAAGTACCCCTTCATCAGAAAATGCTTGTTCCTTTGTAGATCAGAAAACAGAATGACTGGAGAGAATGTCAGATAAAATATCTGGGCTTTTTCAAGTTTCAAAAGTAACACTGGAGTTAATATGGGTTTTCTACAATTTCTTACATATACCTTCATTCCACAGCCTGGAACCTTCTTTGTTGCCATAAAAGCATTTAAAATGTAGTGGTCATCCTTACCACAAGCATTAAAGACATTTCATCATAACAATGGTGAAACACAGTCTTACTACCTTTCACATGACAGAAGTTACCTGGAATATTAATTACTTGCAGAAATGTAGTAAAGTGGAATTAAACAGAAATCTGTTATTTAATTTTTGAGAACATCTGCATAATGTCAATAATTGAGATTTCAAATTTTTAAAGCTTGGGAAAAGTCTAATTCTGTGATCTGAAATGCCATTGTTTGATAGTTGAGTCAGTTTTAAATAGCAATGCTTACTACTTTTTTCTTCTTTATATACTTCCATGTTAATCACAACATTCCCCAAAACCAAAGCTGTTTGTGGCATTTTTCATTATAGAAGCACAAACGAATTTAACTGTGTAATGAAATGCATTAATAATAATGTCACTGAAATAATTAATAATAGCATGCAGGTAATCCTCTAAAGATGTAAAATTTGGTTCAAAAGCTTATCTGAAGCTTATGCAATCTATGTAAATCTCCTGAAACATACAGCATTTTATAGAAATATGTTCAGGTGGATCCTATATCCAGCTGCCCAGAAAGACAAAAAGACCCATTTTCTCAATGGTATTTCCTTGTTCAGGCTCCAGAGCCATCAGCAGCTTTAAGCTACAGAACACTGCAAAACTAGCATGAGTGAAATTAATAAAGGGTGAGCATTTAAAAAAAAATAAAAAAAAAAAAAAAAAGAGCTTTAAATTCAAGTGAAAGTTTGGTGTGCATTAGTGTTCTCTATTCTAAGTGAGATTTAATCTAGTACTTCGTAATGAATTTTTAGAATGAATGGGCTGTCTCAGATGTCCATTTTGATAATTTATTAAAAATGACAAACTGTTTTTTTCTTCTCATTTTTTATTCCTAATGCTCAGAAATCTGGCCTTATTGAAGCTAAAACATATAAAAAATATGACTGCTTTGGATTCATGCATTCTTGGTTGTCATTTTGGCATGGGAGGATTGTACAGGAAAGCAGCAATCAGCTCACAAAAAGAAAGATCTCACTTAAATTACAAACAAATGGCCAAAAAAGAAGAGAAAGTTTTGGAATTTGGAATTTGGCACATAGAATGGACATCTGGTAAGCTGAAAATTTTGTTTATCTGATGTCTATATATGCCTCTTGTCTTTTGACAGACAGCAGTGCAGGATATGTGCAGAAGAGCTAATGATGGCAGGGTCACCAGCAGGAGCTGCAATGTGTCTTGGGTTTGACTTTCCAAAATTTCCAGGATGACTGAAGTTCAAAAATGTGTAAGTAGGTTGGTCTGAGAGGTGTGTTGGTGTGATTTCAGATTTATCTGACAAGTCATTATTTTGAACAAATGCTGCCTCATTTTTCACAAAGTCAATACAAAACAGCACCTCCTGAAGCAGGAAAAAGAGAAACTGGACTCCCAAGCAAAACTTGTGTCTTTCAGCTACTGATACCTGACTTGGTGAGTGAAGACAGATCTTAATGTCTTTTTGTAGGGAAGTAGTTTTTGTCTAGTGTACCAAAGGATTAAGTGATATGTCTGCAAAGCTGACAATTTTTTAAATCTAGCTGCCAACCCAATGAAGAGTAGCAGAGTGAGGAAGATGATGGAGCATGGTCTCTGGACAGCATGGGCAGCCTAATGGCTCCTCCTCCCTGGAAGAGGACGCTCTCTCATTTCATTTCATACCTTACTCTCAATTCCATTTTACGTCTTTCTTGAGATTTTTGGTAGCACTCCTGTGCCATTTTTTCTTCTGCATCTGATGTTCTCTTCACACTTACTATAAACTGATCTCTTCATTCTGCATTAGTGAATTAAAGCAGTCTAATTTTCAAACAATTTTTTGCAACCTTACATGATACAAATCAGCTTGGGAAAAACTCTGGCAAGGGATATGGATGAACAGTAGCCAGAGCAAGGAGAACAAAAGAGGCAGGGAGGAGCAGTGAGCCATCAAATGGATCCCCATTGCCTTGTGTCCTTTACCATTAGGCCAGGAGTAATTTTTAGGAAACTCTTTTTGAAATTATTTGTAAGATTCAGACATCAGTGGCTTTTGCAGCAAAAGCAGCTCAAGAACCCCTGTGATCTGCAAAAGGATGCACATTTCTCCTTCCCAGTAATTCTCCTCACCAGTAATCCAGCTCCTCAGCTCAGCTTGCATGGGGCTCCAGAGGTGGAAATGTGTTGAACACTGCTCATGTCTGAGTTTGGAAATGTCTAAAGATGGTCCCACAAAAAGTAATCTTGATCTTGCTGAAAAGATTTTTAAAGTGCAGCCCTTTTTGATTTTGATTTTCCTTCTCTGAAAAGGAGCACTTTCTATTGAGAAATGCTGAGTCTGGAAGCCGGTAGAGTAAACCTCAGGGAAAGTGTGGGACAGAAAGGCAAAATGCTCTGTGGTAATAAGGAGAAAAGTGTGAGAAACATCCCTGTGGGCCCCAAGAGAATGAGGGGGAGGTGAAAAGGAGGTGATCCAGGTCCCAGAGCAGGGGTTATCCAGCAGCTGCTCCAGAGACCATGGCAGAACAGGAATCTCGCTGCATCCACATTGGAACAGGGGAAAAGTGTGAAGAGGAAGGAGTGGCAGAGAGCAGCTGCCATGGACTGACCACAGCCCCCATTCCCCATTCTCCCAACAGCACTCACAGTGAGACAGTCTGAGGAATCAGCAATGAAGGAGTGAAGGCGAGGCTGGGAGAAATTGGTGGAGGAGTTTTAATTTTGTCTCTGTTTCTCACCATCCAAATCTATTAGTAGACCAATAAAGTAAATTATTTTTTTCCTCAAGCCAAGTCTGCTTTGTCTATGACAGTGATCTCCCTGCCTTCACTTTGACCCATGAGCTTGTCAGTCTTATTTCCCCTTGCCTCATCCTGCTGAGGACTGAGGTGAGAAAGTGGCTGGGTTGGCATCTGGCAGCTGGCCAAGGTCAACCCACCACCACCAGGGAAATAATTTGTAAGTCTAATTATATTAAAGGATAGTGCCTAGCTATAGGAAAGAGCTGGAACAATTTGCAGGTGTGAGGAAGAGCACCAAGCACCACCATCACAAGCTCTAAGGCAAGCTTGCAGAGCCCAGGGAAAATAGCAATATGAAACAGTGGGTGTAGCATAGTCCTGCTCTCACAAACCCTCTGAATTTGGATTGTAAGTAGTTGTCTTTGGTGTTCAGACACTGAGCTTTCTCCCACAGCCCTAAAACATTTACCTGACAGGCCATGGCAGAGCCTGAGGATGCTTTTCCTTGTCTGAGTGCCCTGCTTTATGAAACAACAACCACACATAACAATACTTCCAACATTTGTTGGGCAATTGTTTTTTATGTTCTTCCTCATGAGTGCTTTTCATAGCTCTGCTTTCTCGTACACCTAATGGACTCTTACGCTGTTTGTTGACCCCATAACCCTAACAACTTCTGAAAATCATTAGATTTTAAAGGAAAATACATAAAGTAGAAAATAATGGACCCTTTTGTTACAGGATTAGTGTTTCTAAAGATCCTGAATGTCCCTTGGAACTAAAGAACATTGCATCCTCCCCTGTAGTATCACATAGATTAACACACATAGAAAATTACATCTTACTGTAGCAATCCATGTGTTAAAATATAATTTGTACAGTCAATAGCATTTTCTTCAGTACATGTTAAAGATTCGGTTTTTTTTTAGCTAATGGTTTTATGTTAAAATTTATTGAGAATTGAGGCAGTGTATCTTGCTACCTCAATTCTTCTCAACTGAAGTAGTGTTTTCAGAGACAAACAAAAACCCATGAATTATCCAGTTTGACTCACAAATGTGCTTTGACAGTATGTCTTTGCAAGGCAGTCCACCTTTTGAACAAGCTTTTTGTCTTGGCTTAAATCTTTATTTGGACCAAAAAAAAAAAAAAAAAAGAAAATAAAACCAAAAAACCAAACGGCAATAATAAAGTACTAATTGATAGTTCAGAGCCTCAGGACAAAATCTAAGTAGTAGAAAATTTGCTAGGTAAGCATGTAAGAACAGAAGACCAAGGTTAACACCCATGGAAGGAGTTAAATTACTTCACAGAATGTTAAACCTCTACCAGCAAAGCAGACAGAATATCCTGGCTGTGCAGGCTGGTCATGAAGCTCCAGTGAAGTCAACAGTTCGGGAGCTGGTGTCAGTGGATTAAATTTCAGTCACATCCTAAGGAGTGATTGAGAAATTGTCTGAGACTACTTATTGCACTAAAATATGTTGATGTTGTGTTCTTTGGCAGGAGAGAAACTAATTAGAGAGTTCCAAAGCACCAGGAGCATCATCTTTCCCAGTCCCATGGCAGAATTTTAATACTCGTGCCAGTGGCAAAAACCTGATTTCCTGCAGACAGATGGAGCTGGGAGTTGCTGAAACCCTTTAAGGCCTCCAAAGAAAGTGCAATACAGCCTCTCTCTAGTCTCTTTTTCTCTTTGCTTTCTGTTGTTTACTTTGCTAATTTGCCTGAAGCTGTTTGTTCTGGTTGGTTTGTATTTGCTTTAGAGGATGTTGCTTAACAGAGATTGTATCTTGTGTTTGCTTTTAAAATTCAAACACCATAGTTAAAAGCTGTCTGCAGTTTACAATCTGAGAAAGACAATCCACCCTGAAGAAAAAAATCCACTTTGATTATGCTTGACATGAAATGCAACAACTCACAGAGTTTAACGTTGAAAGGTGAGCTCTAATTATGCTGAATATTTGTCTGAGGTCTCTCTAAGCAGTATTAATATAGATATGGCAAAGGGAACATGGTATTTCCACTGTTTCAGGAGATGAGGGGGCAAATCTTGCTCATCATCCACGGATGGAGCTGCTCCTTCCTCCTGCTGTTCCAGAGCTTTTAGGAGCACAAAATCATTTTATATGAACTTGAGGCTCTTTTGGCTTCTTTAAATTTCCTGGGAGAACAGAAGAGGCAGGCAGCGAGCCTTCCTTCAGTGCTACATGGATAAAAGTAAATCGCTTCATTCGACGGCTTTGCCAGCACAGACACCTATCACACACAAAAAGCAGAAAAACTGGCATCTCCAAGAGCAGAAATATTCCCTAGACCGGTACTTTAAATAAAATTATTATCCTGAGGGACAACGTTCGCGGCGGGCAGGGCCTGAGGGGCCGGGGCCCAGCGGGGCCGCCAGGTGGCGCTGTGCACCCGCGCGGCGGCGCCGCGGGACGGGAAACCGGGATGGAGCCGGGCGGGAATACCGGGATGGATCCGGGCGGGAATCCCGGGAATGGAGCCGGGCGGGAATCCCGGGAATGGATCCGGGCGGGAATCCCGGGAATGGATCCGGGCGGGAATCCCGGGAATGGATCCGGGCGGGAATCCCGGGAATGGAGCCGGGCGGGAATCCCGGGATGGAGCCGGGCGGCAATACCGGGATGGAGCCGGGCAGGAATACCGGGATGGAGCCGGGCGGGAATACCGGGGATGGAGCCGGGCGGGAATACCGGGGATGGAGCCGGGCGGGAATACCGGGATGGAGACGGGCGGGAATACCGGGAGGGATCCATCCCGGAGGGAATAACGGGGTGGATCCGGGCGGGAATTCCGGGATGGATCCCGGCGGGAATCCTGGGATGGACCAGGGAAGGAAACCCGGGATGAATCCGGGTGGGAATCCCAGGATGGATCCCGGCGGGAATCCTGGGATGGATCTGGGCGGGAATCCAGGGATCGATCCTGGCAGGAATAGTGGAGAGGATCCGGGCAGGAGCGAGTAGGAATCTCGGGATGGATCCACCCTGTGGAGCCTTCTTTGGGTGCTGTTTGTAACACCCACCTAATTAGGAAAGTGTGTTGAATTCCTCCTTTAGTTTCCACTGAAGCTGTCCTGTGCTTCCTTTTCTTCACCCTGGGAAGTAAGCCTTTAACTGGCAGGTCACTTATTGATTACTCTTACAAATCCAGCATATATATATATATGTATGTATGTATGTATGTATGTATATATATATACACACATAGATACATACCTATACACACACACACATATATATATGTATGTATGTGAGTGTGTATACATGGTTTATATATCTGTCCTTTGATTTATCTCCTTCTGCAGACATGCCTATATGAATCAAAGGAATATTGCTATATATAATTATAATCACACACACATCTAATTGTGTTTTTTACCATGAAATAAATGGTGAATGAAAGGTGAAGCAGCTTTTGTCTTCTGACAAAAGTAAACATCATTCTTTCTGTATCTCAGTTCAGTGTTGGAGTAAACCTGACTTAGCACCGACCAGCTGCCCACAATGAAAAGCCCGCTCAGCTGGGGTGGTTGTGGAAGGTGGCTCACACAGCCAAAACTGGTAGCTAGAATTGAAGCACAGTGGTTGGGTATACAGTTTTATTCTGTTCAAACTTTCATCTCCCAGTAATCTTGTCCAGCTAAGCAGTACAAGAGTGGTTTTCTTGCATAAGGAATAATATTACTGCTGAGAGGGTACCAGAAGTAATAAGAGAAATAAATTATGGTTTGATGGCGGTTTGTTTGTTTGTTTGCTTAGAGGTGTTGATTTGGTTCTTTGGTTTTCACCTTCCTGATAAAGATTAGTAAATATGTTTCCCTCATGATGTAAAGACTACTTATCTGATTTGTTTTGATTTAATATTGCTTTTTTTCATTTTTAAGAGAGAGTTATGAAGACTCCTTTATGAACTACTTGTACTGGATATTTTTTTTTAAGAGATACAAATTAGTCAGGTTTGTTATCTAATTTTATACCTCCCAAATGAATTGGGTGGATGTCATAGCAAGTAATGCAGATGGGAAAATGGATTGGCCCACAGGTCAACTAAAAAGAAAAGGTAATGAGAGATTGATTTAACCTGAGGTATTGTATGAGTGTGGTTGTGGGGACAGCAAACACCACCCAGAAACGCATCTAGAAAACTGCTCTTCAAAAGGTACTTTGTTCCTACTTAAGACAAAGTTTAATCCATTAACAAGACACTTCAAAATATTTCTAAGAAATAGTTAATCAGATATAAAAACTAAAAATATATTATGTTTTCAGTGGCAAACAGGGCATTATTCATCATTGATAATGAGTCTTCCTACAAAGGGTAGATGATGCACAGCACAGATTTTGTTATGTTTGCTTTTAAATATTAAGATAAAGTTTATTGTGTGTGAGAAACAGTAGAGTTCCTGAAAATAGAAATTTTATTCCCTATCTCCGTCATCACTTGGCTCCTAACATCAATGTAATGTAAAAAAAAGAAAAAATTGTGCACTTTTTTTCATTCTTCTTTTCTCACCTGTACCTCTGTTACACTTAGTTAGAACTTACAGAAATCCCATCCAGAAAGAAGCTGTAAAAGTAAATAATTTATATAACGGAATTTTGATCATAAAAAGTGATGATCTATATTATATCATTTTTATCAAGGAAATTTTAAACTCTAAATTCCAATGTATAACACCCCTCTTGAAAGGCAGAAAGGAGGCTTTGAGTTCAGAGAAGTTTTAATGATTGAAATACTACTACTACTGCATGGAAACTAGTTACTGACTGACATAATATCCAGAAATCACCTGAGGGGCAGTTGCAAAGTTCTGCAGAATACCTGTGGTATTGTTATCATGTTCTGGTATTGAAAAATGCTGGGAAAAAACAACATTGATTGCATGAAATATGAATTTGGGGTTGTTGAATAGTCTGTCATATCAGCTTTGTGCTGTAGTTTGACCAGCATAAAGCAAGGAAGTCTTGCAGAATATCATGGAGATATGATAAGGACTGTAATTTTAGATTTACATACTTATTTTTAAAATGAAAGTGGATAGCATCCCCTATGTGCTCTTATATATGTGTTTTATAGAACATAGTTTGGTGTTTCAACCCTTTCAGTGCCTATCTTTTAGCCATGATGTATTTTTGTATAAAATGATATTTGGCAAATCAGTTTTGCACAGAAAAAATAAGATCTGATTGTATGATGAGGAAGCTGTCCTGAGTTCAATCCTATAAATGGTTTCAACAGGCTTGCCTAATTTCATCTCCATCTCAATTTATCTTTTTCATTTTTCTCAGCAAACTTCTTTCAACCTTTAGTTTGAAGAGGCACCTTTGAATGACAAGGCGAGAAGTCTGTCAAACAGTGGGAAATAATTGTGAATATATATATTTTTAACAAGGGCTGAAGACTATTCTGGAAAAAATGGTGTTCAAAGGCTGGTTATATTATACCTTTGTATTACTTTTGGAGAGGTCATACTGTTGGATGAAATGTCTTGCTGAAAAAATCTTAGCTATTTTCCATCTTCATTCCTTTAATGGGAAAAAAAATAAAGTGAGAAAATTGCATGTCTCTGTTAAACAGAAGGAAGGGTTACCCCAGAATTTTGCATTTATCATCTCATCATGTGAACACCTTGTTTAGTGCAGGAATAAACAGAGTCACGTTAAATTTGTTGTGAGCTTGAACCTCTGACAGTGTTCATTTTATCAACAAAGACAAATGAAGGAGTAGAAATTGTACTGTGGCCTCTACTATTTCATCATTGTCAACCTTAAATACAATCATTCACTGCTGATAGATTTTTCTCCTTCCTTCTCCCACTAATCCTAAGGTGTCAGAATCCCTCTTGATATGGTCCAGACCCCCAGTAGCAGTGATTAAAATAGAAGGAATTAAATTATCTTTTTCAGTCTCTCTCAATAAATATAATATATAATATAAATAAAGGAGCTCTGAAATATCCTCTTTCTTGTTGCAGATGCTATTTCATTAGAAAGAGATGAAAGTAAATAGTAGAGTGGTTTGACATTAAGATTGTTTGGAAACCAGTGATTAGTGGCATTACACATGCTCTTGAAAGACTAAATACTGAAAAGAGAGGAAACTCTACCAGTGGAAGTTGGTTTTCTGCAGAGAGGCCCACAAAAAATATCCTGTAGAAAGATAGACACACTTAGATAGTGCCAGGTTCTGATTCATGTTACTGATAACAAATGCATTGGCAGATTGATCTAATGACCCTAAGGAACTACCTAAGGTGCAGAACAGCTCCTTACCATAAAGGCAAAAAAATAATAAAATTTAACCATTAAAGTGTCAGGTCAGATTATGACCTGACACTCTAATGGTTAAATTTTATTAATTTTTTTTTTTCTATGAAATAACTATTTGGACTATTTTTTAAAAGTTAATTATTTTCTAAAGGGAAAAGTTGATTGACTTTGGATAAATAATCTTGTGAATAAAAAGTTCAGTTTGCCAGATCAAAATACGACAGTTCAAATTTCATGATCCAAGCAGGTATTAAACATTGGTGTTTAGTTACATAGGTCACTAAATGCTGTTTAGTTACATAGGTCAGGTCACATTCAAGATGAGACACATTAAATTAGACAAGGCAGATTTCAAAAGTATTTGTTTATCCTACCCTTGCAAAACAAGATATGAATACCCATCAGACTGCTCATGTCTTGTACCAAATAAGGAAGACAGAATCCAAGGATAATGATGTATTTAAACAAAACAAAACTTAGAGAAATGTAATATATGAAAAGCACAATAAAATTAGTTTGAAAGTTTTCAACCTTTGCAGATGTAAAGGAAGGATAAAATTATCATCTATGGGCTTTTTTATGATTTATGAGCATCATAAAATGATCATCTAAGACTGCATAAGATACTATGTTTCACAAATTCTGACTAAACAATACAGAAGCATGATGGTGTACAATCTAATTAGTCATTTTAAAAAACATTTAGATTATTTTTTTTCTTTGGAAGCTGAAGAGTATGATAGTAAAAGAAGTACCCACAAATGATGTTTTATTCACATTCTATTTAACTAAGTTAAAAAATTACCTGTAGCTCTTTTG